CCTGCAGCTGAGAGCCTTCTCAGCAATAAGGAGAAGAAAAATGAGCATCTTTCCTTCCCAGGAGTAAAGAGGGGTGCAGAAGGGGAGGGAAGAGAAGAATCCAGAGGGTAACTAGAAGACAAAACTCCTAATCCAACCACAGCAGCCACCTCAGCTCTGCAATCAGGACTTGGTGAATTTTCTGTTGAAGTCAATCTGAGCTCATGTGACTGTAGAATGATGCTTGCTTTGGTGTCTGGGTAAAGGCAGTCATGGAGCTGGAACTATAACAAAACACAGAGCAACTTCTTTCAGGAAGATTTGCAATTCCTCTGCAATTAGCAGAGGAACAACGTTAATAATAGCTCACCTCCTATTATCCTGTCCACAGGTCCATGGAGACGGTGACTCTGGGAAGCTGGTGAAGATTTCGAGTAGCAACTGTGAGGGCTGGACCTGACTAGGGAATGAGAGAAACCTTTAGAAAGAGCATCAAAGACTGGACCAGGGAATGAGAAAAACATTTAGGAAATGAATCAAAATCTCAGTTAATGCTGAGACAGTGAATTTGAAGTAACTTAAATCCACAGAAGTGAGCAAATTCTTCCAGAAGCTTCTAACTGGTGACAGTGGAGGAGAGGAAGGTAGGTTGTTGCATTGTTCTGCAAGACAGTGGGTGAAGTGTGTTCCATGAGAATGGGGCTGGGCGGAGAGCCATTGTAGAGCCAGGAAGCAGGAGAAGGCATGGAGGCAGCATGGCTGAAAGGCTACCGGGCAGTCTTGTGGTGAGAACAGGAGAGGAGAGAGCTGGAGGGTTAGGGGACTGTGGCCTGAGACTGAGCTCTTTGAGTTTAGGTTTCTAGAGCTGATCACATCTGGGCAATAAAGTCTGGGGAGTAGGTGATGAGTGAGTTGGTGAGTTGGAGTGTGGATGGAGGGTACTAAATGGAGGGGATTTGAGGCCAGGTCGTGGGCTGGGTGCCACACAAACATATGGGCATCAGGGAACAGTGGCAGTTCTGAAGTGGATGGGGAGATTCTGCATGGCCAGGTGCCAAACTCCTCATGGCTAGGGAGCAAGTCCATGAGGTCTGAGGATGACAGCAGCAAGGAGCTGCCGATGGGGGCAGAACCTGACAGTGGACGTGCCCTTCGAAGGAAGGAGGGGCTATGCCGAAGTGTGAGAATGGTGGCCTGACAGCAGCATTGGGGAAAACCAGCCCATCCTAGGAGGGCCTGGGGTGGCAGAGTTCCCCCGAGAACAGCTGAGGAAGTGACAGTCCAGAGGCCACTGGTTCTTACTCAGTGTGTAAGTGCCAGTGGCTGTGTTTACACACCCGGTCCCAGGAACCAGGTTCCTATAACAAGCTGTGGCTCCTCCTCTCACCTTTTTAGGACCTGCGTTGTCCTGTCCTTCTCATATCCTTAGTCTCACCCCATCACTGGCCACTTCCTTCTGTCCCCAGGCAGGCACAGGCTGCCTCCTCTGGCCACCATCTTGTTTCTTTCCTGCCATGCATTGGCAAACTTCCCAAACCAAAGGTATATAATTTCTGCCTCCATTTCCCTACCACGCTCTCACCTATAATCTCTCTTCTGTCCTCTCTTCTCAACTGAACAGCTCTCTTGGAGGCCACCAGGGCTCCCTGCACTGCCAAGAGTTGGTGCCATTTCCTTTTTATTCTCCTGGTGTCTCAGCAGCCGTGGTTGGATTACCATTCCTTCACCCTGCAAACACGCTTAGCCTGTTTTCACACTGTTGTACCCTCCTGATTCTTGACTCTTCTCTCTCCATTCCCTTTCTGATGCTTCATTCTCTTTCTTGTATCTTCAATAAAATCCCTTCTTGGGGCTATGCCGTTCTCTACCCAAAGCACAGTATAGTGATGAGATGCATAGAGGCCAATGCCAAACTGCCTAGACCCAAATTCTGGCTCTGCCACAGACCAGCCAAATGACCTTGGGAAATTAGTTCTCATTTCCATGACTCTGTTTCCTCATATGGAAAGTGGTATAGTAATAATACCTACCTCCTAGGGTTTTTGAAACTCTAGACAGTGGCTGCTATGTGATAATTATTAAGCCTTTTTCCTTTGGGGCTCTCCCATCTACCACTCTGGCTCCATTTAAGGCACATTTTAAGCCTTTGTCAGATAGTCCCATGAAATTAGTTTCATTTGGAGTGAATTCATGTTCTCATTGCTGATTCTCTTGACTGTCTCTTTACATCATATTTGTCATGTGATTTTAAATGTTGGTTTCAGGCTCACCTAGACTAGGGGGTTTGCTTTTGTTCTGTTTTCTCTTCCCCCTCTGTCTGCCACCCTCCCTGGGTAGTAGTTTTGTGGTGGCCCTCATGCAGGGCCACCGAGTTCTAACTCAGTTCCCTAGTTAGAACGGAGTCTCCTAGTGACATTGTGGGAGTTCTTCTTTTGCAAATATATTGGGGGATATTCTAGACCCAGTCACCAGCCGTGTGGCTGAATCTTTTTGATCCCTCTTACTTATTACACCAATGGCTTCTTGTAAATGAAGCAATTTTAATAAGTTAGAATAAAGGTTGTCAAAACCAGTAGTTATCAGCTGAAGTCCTGATTCTTCATGCAGAGCCCAGAATATGAGTAGCACAAATATATTTCCAATAGTTTATGTGTGTGACACCAATGGCTTCCTATAAACCAGGGTTTCTCAATCTCATCGCTGCTGACTTTTGGGGCTGGGTAATTCTTCGTCATGGAGGGGGTTGTTCTGTGTATTGCAGGGTATTTAGCAGTGTCCCTAGCCTCTATACACTGGATGTTAGTAGCATGTCCCCCCTCTACCTGAAACAAAAAAATGTCTTTCAGCCATTGCCATGTGTTCCCTGGGCAACCCCTGCTCCACCAGCAGAGCTCCAGTATCGTAAAGCCATGTCCCCACGCAGGGGTCACCATTCCCTTTTACAGCTTCTGTGTCTGAAGGGTATGGAGGAGCCCAGCCAGCCTGTGGTCTCAGCCCTACTCACTGCTTTGTGTTTTTCGTCTGATTTTGGGCAATACAGATGTTTGCCTTTTTGGGATTATAGGGGGAAACCCTAGTTATATCTTTTTGTTGTTTCTTTGTTTCATTTGGTTTCTCATGGCTATGAAATTGGAGCAGAGGGTGTAAAGTCATGCAGATGTACTACTTCATCTGGATCCAAATACCCTGTCCTTTTCATCCTTCAAAAATGGTGTCCTCCTTTCAGTCATGATAGTCTTTCTGTCTTTGGAACATTTATAGCACTTATTGTCAACAGTCGTCACTTGGCATGTTCTGCTTTCAGCCACTCAGAAGGGTTGTCAAACTCTAGGATTGGTATTTGATTTTAACTGGCTTGTCTCTTGCGGCTACAGTCTGATGTTGGCTTCTCTGAGGTTTCTTTGCATATTCAGAAGTAACTAAGGGAGCAGGTGGAATATAGTAAGTATTTGGGAAACACTGAGTCATGAATCTCTTATTGATCGGTACAAAGGCCTCTGAGGCTCAGGTTCAAAAGTTCTAGCTACTATGTTGCAGTTTTGAGTCATTGAAGAAGGTTCTCTGTAGTACAAAGGCTATTTGACCATGCAACTCACAAAATCAGAGATATTACACGTGGTCATTGTTAGAGATAAGGTAGCCCTGGGTCCTGATTGCCTGGGGACAGTTCCAGTTTACTCCTGTCATCAGATGGAATTGAGAGTGCCCTATTTCATTCCCCAGAGTGCCTTGGTTTAGCTGATAAAATATGAGGTAACCCCACTTCGAGGCCACTAAGTATACTCTCCTTATTTTATAAATGTGGACATTGAACAAATTATATTTTCCCTTTACTTACAGTGTTTCCCCACATTCCCCTGGAGAAAAAAAGCTAGTGAAATGTTTTATTGGCACTATGTGCTTATTCATGTATTTGGATAAACTGGCATTTACTGACTAGCAATAACTGCTATACACTTGGCAGGTAGGGGCTCAATACATGTGAACCAAACATACATCATCAGAAATGCCTTTGCCGTACTTGTATTCTGTGCTCTGCATGAAGCATCTGGACTTCTGCTGATGACTACTGTGTTTGACGATGTTTGTGCTGATTAAAATTACCTGGGCAAACCTAGATTTCCACCTGCAGTGTGATCTGCCCCCCAGAGCCCACAGCCACACACATCTGGTCACTGGGACTGACCACCTCTGTCAGCCAGAAGCAAGGCTTAAGTACTTCATTTGTGGAATTGATCAGTTCAAGGCAGAGAACACATCACGAAATCTTTGCCTCTTAATGGTAACACAGCCTGAGTCCCCATAACTTCCACCGGCTACTCTTCTACCTAGTTAATTTCCAGGGAAGAAACTGCCAGGCTGGAGGTCACAGTTTGTCCTCTGCCTCCAGGCAGCCCTGCATCTAAACGTGTATTCTAAACAAACCGAAAACTAAAAAGCGAATTTCCAGTCCTCCAAGGGAGTTGGTTTGAAAAGTCCAGGCTCCAGTGGTTCGCCATAGGTGCTGCCAACCTAAAACCAAAGTGATCCATGTTGTCTGAAGTGACGAAGGAGGGCCCTCCGGGGGGAAGCTGCTGTTTGGCTTTGACAGAGAAAACAGCTAAGGATGATTGACTTCTTGGCTGTCTCATTCAGGCCTCCGTGTGCTGCCTCCTGTCTGATGCAGTGTCATCGTGTGTCCTTCTCTGCTTTCTTCTGGGAGATGGAAAACTGCCCCCCACCTTTCCACTGGTGTCCCCCACTCAGGACCTGGAGTTCCTGCCCAGTACCATGGTAGACAGAATGCTCCCCCAATCCTGCAGGCTGGTCATGAGCCCCCGGATGGCTGGAACAGGGTGGGAGCCACTGGTGCTCAGAGGGCTCCCCTGCAAGCTCCCAGGCTGTGTTTAACAGTCTTGACAAGTGTACCCTTGGGCAGAGGGCCAGGGACAATCTGTGTAACCCACTAAGCTAATTATCCTCTCTGCAGACGGCCTCCTGCCCTAATCCTCTTGGGTTTGCCATAATCCAGCTCCCTCTGGGGTGAGCGGCCAGGGTGGCAGGCCTCTGTGCAAATGGACCATCTGTTGGAGCTCAGGAGGCTGGGCTCCTGCCCAAGGGACTGGGGCCTCAGGCTCTCAGGCCAAGGAGAGTGGCCCCGAGGACAGTACAGAGGAGCGTGGCCAGCCCTGCGGCCCAGCGGGGCTGAGCCAGTGGCAGGGAAGGAGGCGGCATCCACATCGGCCTGACTTTCCTCCAACAGATGTCCCCCTGAGGCTTAGGAGCTCAGGGGAGCTGAGCCATGCCCTTGTGCTCCCTGGAGGACGGTGAGTCAGCAGCTGCCTGTGTCTCACAGGGTCAGCCAGACACCTTAGGGGCAGAGCCTTGGCTCTGGGTAGTCATAGCAAGCAGGGAGGCGTTTTGGCCTGAGAGCCTGGGAGGGATGTCTCGAACAGGATGCTTGCAGTGAGGCAAGATCGGGTCTCTTCTGCAAGGCCTGCTGGGCTGTTTGGGAGCAGATCATGTTTAAACACGGCGCGGTGGAGTTTCAGGTTCCTGCTCGTTGATTTATAGGATGTTAGTATCATAGCCTGTGTGGTTCTCCAACCTGGACATGGAGGGTGAGCAATGCAGTCGCTGGAGCCAGAGAGGGAGAAATCCGTCCCCAGGACCCTCCTGGGGCCCTTGGAGAGGAAGGAGAAGGGGGCCAGCTACCCCTCGACTCCTGCTAGGTGAGGTCAGCTGGGGTGGGAGAGGATTCTGGGGAGGGGTCCGATTTGCTTCTTAGAAGACCTAGACTTCAAGCAGCCTCTGAAGACCCAGGGCAAATAGAGTGACAAGGAAGGGGCACAGAGGATCCCTATGAAAGAGGTCATTGAATATTCTCTAGGCTGGTCATTGAATTTCCCTGGCATCCTGGGCCCATTTCTGCAGAAGAGACTGAGGCCCAGAGAGATGAAGCTTTGGAAGGGCCACAAAATCAAACTGGAGCCTCTCTTTTCATGATCATAACACCCCCGGCAGCTGGGCAAGTGCCGATCTGTCTGGTTTTCTGGTGGAGAAACTGAGGCTTAGGCGAGATAAAGGTTCCAACAGCAAATGAGCAGAGATCCATGGTCCAGACTGGGCTCCTCAGACCAGGTCCAGCGTGGCTGTGGGTGACTGTCCTGTGCCTCAGCTCTGTACTTCCCCATGGGCCACGCCTCACAGCCCACTCATCCCCTGCCCCAGGCTCCCTCCCCAGCTGCTGCACAGGAAAGGGAAAAGGGACAAAGACACTGCCTTGGGGTGCACCTTGGAGGAGGTCCCGGTAGGGCACCAGGGCTCGCTCCCTCGGAGAGGTCCACAGCCCAGAAACACATTTCAGATGGCGAGAACACATCTTTGAGTTGCGCATTCCGCATCATTCTTTGTTTACCCTCTTGGTTATATAAACATCTTCCAGAAATCCTCTTACAGATAATATTGACCTCAGACAGGCCTGCTGCTCTCTTCTAATGGGCGGGGGGAACAAGACGAGCTGGTGGCCATTTTTCGCACCTCTGTGCTTAATGTATATGTGTATATGTGTGCAGGTGTGCACTTGAGTGTGCATGTATGTACAGGTGTGTGTATGCATGTGTGATACATGTGTGGGAGGTGTGTGTGGACATGAATGTGCACCTGTGTACAGGTGTGTGCATGTGTGATGCATATGTAAGAGGTGTGTGTGGACATGAATGTGCACCTGTGTACAGGTGTGTGTATATGCATATGTGATGCCTGTGTGGGAGGTGTTTGGATATATGTGTGTGTGTGTGTGTGTGTGTGCACGAGTGTGCATGTGTGTATAGGTGTGTGTGCACATGTGATGCATATGTGGGGGATGTTTGTGTTTATGTGCGTGGGTGTGCACATGAGTGTGCATGATGAGTGCACAAGTGTGTACACACATAATGTGTGTGTGTGTGCGCGTGTGCTGCATGGGTTGGGGTTGTGTGTGTGTGTGTGTTGGAGGGAGACACCCGGTGTTATGGAGGGATCTGTGGACCTGCAGTCACAAAGCGTAGACCCACCGGGCCTGGCGAAATGGTATTCTGCTCCTCTGCTCCTGGGTTTTGATCTCTTAGGTGAAAATCACGGGGGTTGGACTAAACAAGCCTTCAGTTCCTTCCAGATCGATGGCCTGTGCATGCAGTGTTCAACAGCTTTCCCAGCTCCAAGTTAAATAACCCATTCCTGCAACCTTTCCCTGTAAAAGACATTTTCCAATCCTTTAATCATCTTGGTTACTTTCCTCTGAACTCCCTCCAAGAGACCTGTGTCATTGGATAAGTATGTCACATAAATTAGTCAGTAAATCAATCTGTCAACAATATCTCTTGAGCAACCACTCTGTGGCTTTCTGGAGGTGCCAGGCTGATACAATCCAACCATAGAGGAACAAAAAGAGTTTTCACCCTGCCTCAGACCAGGAGTTCATTTATCCAACAGTGGCCTGAGGCACCCACCGGGATGTCATCAATCCCCAGAGACCTGAACCTTCCTCTGGAAATACCTTAGGTAACATTAGCTGGGCACCTGCGCTGTTCAGAGCTCTGCTAGGCACTGTGATAGAAAAGTGAGCATGGTGACCTCCAGGGAGGGCAGGCATGGAGGCCGGGAGGAGATAGGGAAGCAGGGGGATGTGGGCTCAGAGTGGGGAGCTGGCCACCCTCAGGCTGCAGATGGAACCTTGGTGTTCAGATGTGGGCTGCTTTGAAAGTTTTTTTTTTTTCTTCAATACAGAAGGATGAATTGTAAAATGAAGTAACCAAAAGCATGTAGAAATTGGAGAAAACCATACTTTCACTTTCAAAGGGTGATTTCACCACTCACTGGCTATGTGAACCTTGAGCAAGTCATTGAAGCTTTCTAAACTCTGAATTCTTTAAGATACTGTGGGGCTTGTACCCGGCAGGAAGGAATATTTGAGTTAAATGATACTGCATCCGTCAAGTGTCTGGTGCATAGTGGGAGATCTACATGTATAATCCCCTTTCTCTCCAGAACTCATGATGGATCAGTTTCTGAGGTCCCCAACGCTTCTGGATGGATATCTCTATTGTCAGCTTTACTATTAGCTGGGGCTCTAAGTTCTATGAGTCCACTCTGTGATGTGTATCATGTTACTGTCCCAGCTTATTGATCCTAAAATAATTTTCTTCAACCCTGAATGATAGTCTTTTATTTATAGTGGAGTCATACGTGGCTTCATGATGGGAATGCATGCATTCTGAGAATTGTGTTGTTAGACAGTTATGTCATTGTTTTGTGCAAACATCATAGAGTGTACTTGCACAAGACTGGATGGTGTTGTCTACTACACACTCAGGCCCTATGCTGTAGCTTTCTGCTCCACGGCTACAAACCTGTACAGGATGGTACTGTACTGAATTCTATAGGCAACTGCAGCACCATGTGAAGTATTTGTGTTTCTAAACATGGAAAAGAGAGTAAAGATGCAGCATGAAAGATTTGGCCAGGCACAGTGGCTCACACCTGTAATCCCAGTACTTTGGGAGGCCAAGGTGGGCAGATCACAAAGTCAGGAGTTTGAGAGCCGCCTGACCAACATGGTGAAATCTGTCTCTACTAAAAATACAACAACAATAATAATAAGCCAGGTGTGGTGGCAGGCACCTCTAATCCTAGCCACTCAGGAGCTTGAGGCAGGAGAATTGCTCGAACCCGGGAGGCGGAGGTTACGGTGAACCAAGATCACGCCATTGTGCTCCAGCCTGGGTGACAGAGCAAGACTCCATCTCAAAAAAAAAAAAAAAAATTTTTTTTAAATGGCACACCTGTATAGGCAGCGCCATGATTATCTCATGGGGTCACTGTCGTCGGTGAGGTCTGTCATTGATAGCAGTGCTGACTGTGTACTGTATGCCTTGGGATTTTACAGTCATGGAGCAATAGCTCTGAGCATAGCTTTTATCTCCGTGGTTGGGATCCATGCTCTTTTTCAACTTAGCATCAATTTGCTGTGCTAGAAAGAGCACTTGGTCCTTGACCAAAACCCCTGATATCCTGATTCACCTGTCAAGACCGTTTTAGACAAACCACAGAGAATGCACTGCAGTGCTCCTCAGATGTCAGTGTGAGCAGAATCACCTGGAGGTTTTGGTAAACACAGATTCCTGGGCTCCACCCCCAGATAATTTGCATTTCTAAGAAGATCCCAGGCCAGGCTGAGGCTGCAGGTCCAAGACTTAGACTGTGAGAACCTCTTGCATGGAAAGAGCAGCCCTGGAGTTTAGTGGAGCTTGGTAGAATCAGTTGCCCCTTCTGAGCCTGCTTCCTGATTTATCAGCCTTTACAGACTAGATCTCAAGGTAATCATTAGACAAATTATCCCAGAGCACCTTGCAAACCATAAAACACATAGCTATTAGCGGCTTAATGTTTCCCTTCAGCTTTCACTTGCTCACCTATAAAATGGGGATAATAATGGTAATTTTTATAAAGATTAAGTGACATAATCTACATAAAAGCACTTTGTGAAGTGTAAAGAACTATGGAGTCAGCTGGGCGCGGTGGCTTACGCCTGTAATCCCAGCACTCTGGGAGGCTGAAGAGGGCGGATCACCTGAGGTCAGGAGTTTGATAACAGCCTGGCCAACATGGCAAAACCTCATCTGTACTAAAAATACAAAAAAATTAGCTAGTTGTAGTGCCATCTACCTGTATTCCCAGCTACTGGGGAGGTTGAGGCACAAGAATAATTACCTTGGATGGCAGAGGTTGGCAGTGAGCCAAGATTGCACCGCCGTACTCCAGCCTAGGTGGCAGGGAGAGACTCTCCCTCAATTAAAAAGAAAAAAAAAAATAACTACTGTGTCTTGCTTTTATGACTTCCTGAGCCTCAGTTTCCTCATCCCCAATGTGATAGAATGGCCAATGGGTCCATCCTGGGTGCCATCCTTGGTCACTTGGCAGCACATTATCATAGATGTGGGTAATGCAAGTTTGCGTGTAACACCATGGCTGATGCTGTTCTGTGTCTTGTTGGCCCCTTTGGTCAAAGCTGTTTTCTGGGGGACTGTATCCAGCTAGGATGCTTCTGCCTGCCAGAAACAAAGTTCCCAGCTAAAAGTGGCTTTAAAAATGTGGGGTTTGTTTTCCTGTCTAAAAAGAAGTCCAGAGGCAGGGAAGTTTGGGGCTGATAAGTTCATTGGCTTCGTGAGTAGATTCTCTGGGATTCTCTTGGCCTTCTCCTCATGATCACATGGTGGCTGCAGCAGCACTGAGCATTCCATACACACATCCCTAGAAGCAGGAAGAGATAAGTCTCAAATTTGCATCT